GCGCTGGCTGCCCCCGACGTGGCGGCATGGGCTCGCGACCGAGAGGAGCTCTGTCGTACCTACCTGCGTGAAAAATATCCCAAACTGAACCACCACAGCACCAAGTCCACACTGGATGAGTCAGCGAGTATTCTTCAGCTGCAGCGGAAGCCCTCAATATCAGGCAGTCTTTCACTCTCCGCGGAAGATCTGATTAGAGTTAGTTCTGCCTGTTTTTTTACTCCCCGCCTTGTTGGCTTTTGAGTTCAGACTTCCAGGCGGGTTGCTAGCGCATGCAAACAGAAGTGGGACGCGTTGGTGGGCTGGTTAGGAATGAATCGGCATTTTTTTAGTCAGCTTATCATGCCAGTGCAATCTCTTGTTGCTGTGTCTTCTTGTGTAAACCTCAAACGCATGCGGGGGCCGTCCATCACTGCTTATACCCTCTAGTTCACTGTTGCAGGTTCATTGGATCATCAAGAATCATCTTCCTAAGGACTCATCTGTAGGAACGTATGGACCCCCATCAACCACTGAGATTGTTTTTTTTTTCGAGGTAGTCTCCCCCCAGCGCTTTGGCTCAAGAGCCTAATCACAAGACGGTGGTAGCGAGCGAACTTCCTTAATGGCGGTTCATGGTCCCCATGTCACAGTGCCGTCATAAGGCTTTGCGGCAGTTTACTAGGCTTTCAGTGGACCAGATCCCAGCCCTCTGCGCCCTGGCAGCATTGTCTCTGCTGGTCCGTGGCTGCTTTGTTCGCCAGACCCAAGTGTCTGCTTATTTTCCAGCTCACCTTCACTGAAGACAGTCAGTAGCCAGGCTAAGGCCGGTTTGCGGCGCCAGACCAACCCGCGTTTTCATTTGGCCGGCTATATGCCCTCATCAGATAGAGTTATTTTCCAGCGAAATATATACAAAAAGAATGTTTTTTTTCTGTGCAGTTTGTTTAATAAAACATACTTGAATTCGCGTCGATACTCCATGCAGAAAATAATATTACTTAAGTAGCCATTTTTAAAATGATTAATTTGTGCAGTTGGTGTGAGAGAGGCTCGTTCAAAAACTGGCATCATGACACGACTGACATATCGTTTTCACTATCCCCCAAGGAAAAAGAAGGTACGAGGACGTGGACTGAATTTAAATTGAGACTGACGTTTTGGACAAACGCTCGGTTGCATCGTCAGATTAACCAAGTGATTGTTCCTCTTTGCCGGGCCTGCTTGAGCCTTGCCGTATGCCTAGTATTATATCCGTGCTCGACACATGAACTTTGACCAGCTTGTTCGCTGCTGACTGGCCGTGAATTTGACCGCTGGCGGCTTCATTTGACCTTCGCCCGCTCTGAGGCTATTGTAAGTCAGCGGACTGCCTGGCCTGCCCCTCGTCGACCGACGGACTAATCAGTTTTTGCTGTCCGCTTAAGTTGATGTCAATTTCGTGGGCGCGGCGGTGACGTAGTGTTCCACGCTGGTCGCGTGGTTCCTGGCCGGCTCCTCCCCTATTTTCCTCTGACTCCAGTTGCAGTTCACGCTTGAGTTTGAGCCTCGGGCGATGTACCAGCTGAGCTTGAGTGTGATTGGCTTATTAGGGCCCTAGGATTACCGGATTTACAGTAACCGTAGCGAGAGCTCGTTTGTGCGTCTTATCAGCAGATTGCGCCACATTACAATGGCGTCCACATCGCGCGCGCTGACGAAAATCGATCAGCCGATCAATAATCGATTAAGTAATTATCCCAGCCAATGACGGTCAAGCACGCGTGAAGTGCGTGTTTGCGTAATACGGTAGCGCGCGCAATGCTATTAGGGGGCTAATATGCCAGAAAAGGTGTGCTTTGCATGTCTAACTTTGGTTTTTTGTGGTCGATTTAGTGTCTTCTGCTTCTAATTTAAATTCTATGAGACATTAATTTTCACCCCTTCGCCTGAATCTCCCCTATTAGGTCTGCACGGAGTGGTTCCATAACGAGCGGGTTCCGAAGACTGCCAGTGTTATTACCGAGGCAGCAATCAATAGTGACTTGCCGGAGCCGCTGGGCGCTGGAATCAATGACCAGGCTATGGCCGTGGAGATCGAATCCGTCCGTTCTTTCAGCGATGAGCTTCCGAAGTCCGAGGAGCCGATAAAAGAGGACGAGTCCCAGCCATTAGCTGCCTCAGATGCCTCTGTGGACGAATCAACACCTGTAATTGATGCGGGCCTGGAACCTGTTGATGATGATGCCATTGGTGAACAGAAGGAGGCCTCCATGGACCAACCGTCAATGGAATCTCCCGCCCAACCCTCGTTGATCAATGACGGTAGCACGTCCGTCGCGATTGCTACGGCCGGCTCCGCGGAACTGGTTCCTCCGAACACACTGACGGCGGAGGTCTGCATGAGTGGACGGTCTGTTGTGTCTGGTCAGATGGAGGCTATTCATTCGGCCCTCATTGCTCATCCGGCCACCATTTTCGTAGAACTGGATGACTGTGATTTTGGTAATGCACCCGGTGTTCCCACACCGCTGATGATGATGAATCACCACATGGGTCTGGCCTTTGATCCTCCGGAGTTGGTGTTGGATGAGGTGGCTCGTCGCCTTTTTGTCTGTCTTCTGGCTGGTCTCAAGACCTGGGCTTGCAACGTAAGAATCCATTCGCGTTTAAAAAAATAGCTACCTTTATTATATAAGTAGTGTCGTTTATTTTATAATACTGTCTATGCTTTTAACTTGTCCTTTTAGGGGGTCCACGTGGAGCTCGATACGATAAACGAACCCCGGGCTGATCTCTACCGTCGATTTGGTTTCTACCCTGTCTCGGCTGCATCAACGGACTTTACCAGTGTCCTTGCTCGTCTTATCTAAGAGGCCGACTCCCCCCTGCCCCTGTCCCCCTCGCCCCTCCGGTTGGCGCAAAGTGTTTAAGCAATCAGTACACCGCATTCCTTTTCCCGTCCGTCCCCTCCACCTTATCTCCGGCCAATTGTGGAGGGATGATCCACTTTCTGGTCTTCCACCGCTGCATTTTCTGGATGCTCAAATGCAAGTTGAAGACGACCCGCAGTGGGGAATAAAGGCTGTACAATCATGCACATACGTGTACATGCATAAACTGCCTAGTTTGTTTATTCCTCCCAACCGCCTGTATCGCCGAGCGAATCTAGGCGCGTTGGAGTTTTACCTTCTCCCTACCTCATCCCCTCTACCCCCAATTTCTCGCCGTGTGTCTCCTCTACTTTCTAAAAATATCTGGAATCAAAACTGAAGAGGGAATCCACAGTGCTCTTCTTTTGGTTAGCCATTACTTTTAGGTCTGCTTCCCGGCGTAGCCTTGTGGTTAAGTTATTGTGCCCAAGGGAGAGGACCTTAAGCAAACAAAGCGATCGATCATTGAGGATTCGTCTATGCTCAAATGCCCAGAACAAAACCTTGGTATATGATATCCCATTCAATTATTACGGTTCATGCTAGGGAGTCTGTGATCACCCATATTGTCTTCAGTCTGATGCGGGCGAACAGTATGCGAGTTATACTGTCCGGTTAAATTTGATAAATTTGGAGCATTTATTTCCGCGGTACCAATTTAAAACAAACATAGGCAGCAGGATTTATTGAATAAAATAAATTTTGCAACAGCTTATCAACTGCATCCTGTCGTTGCATGAATCT